AAGGCGTCGCTTTCACCCCCACTTAAAACGGGTTCAGAGCTTGGGTATAGAGCCTTTGGATGAAAAATCTTTAAGGGCTGAAATCATTAAAAAACAGTCAGTACAACTATTTACTCGAAAATATAATCAAAAGTAAGTAATAAGGATCGAAATGTTACCTTAAAATTTAAACTTACCCTTTTCATTAAAAAGATAATTGGAAATTACCTTAGCCTGACTCACTTACCTGTGTCCCCAGCAGAGTCGCCAAGCTGTCGCAACCGTATTTTGGTTGGGCCCCGGGATTGGGTTTCGACTTGAAAAATGTGGATTGGGAGTCGCCACCGATCATTTATTTAAAAATAAATGGGTTGATCGGATACCCTATTTCTTACCTGATCTGCGTCTTACCATAAATATGTCGGGCTCGGGAGTCGGTTACGGTCAAGGAAGGATTAACACCCTTGAACCGCCCTTTCGGTACTACGTAATTTCCCGTTGTCTTAATTAAGAAAATTGTAATTTTAAATTAAAGGTAAAATTTGATAATGAATTACTTACCTCTGATTAATTGACGAAAATACCCTTAAAAAGTCATAAGATGTGTCAGAGGGAAAAAATGAATAAATGAAAAAATGAAGAATAAAAATAAATAAATAAATAAATGAAATATATATATATATATAAATGAGTAAAATAGAAAAATAATAATCATAACAATAATAATAATAATATAAAAATATAATATAATATAAAAAAACCAAAAACCAAAAATATATAAATATATAAATATATAAACCAAATATAAAAGTATACATATAATGATAATTGGCTTATAAATAAACTATTTAAAACATACATATATATGTATAATGATAAAGTTAAAAAAAACTAAATAAAGATAATTACAATATATAGTAATAATACGCTTATAAGTAAAATATTTAAAAAAAAGTATATATATATATATATAAATAATAAATATAGTATTAAAAAATAACCAAATGAATATAAATAAATAAAAAATATATGTATAGATAATAATAATATATAGTGTAAAAAAATCAATTGAAAATCATTTAAAAGAACATATGTATATATATTTATATAATGACAATAATGTAAATAATAAATAAATAAAAATATCTATACAATAAATAAAAGGATTAATATAAAGAAAAATAAAGATTGTGGTCAAATTTGAAAGACAATTAACGTTGATATTACGCATTAGGGGGATAAAAAAATGAACACGCCTCGGGGTAGATCTAGGTTCGAAACTTCGAAACCCCACCCATTTTTTGTCATCGGCACAACCCACGTTTTGGGTTATTCGAACCAAATCTCAAAAAAAATAACGTGCACATGCGAGAAATGAACGAATTAAAAAAAATGATACTTTTTATTTCCTTTTCGAATCGTTTACAATAGCTTTGCCTTTGTATTTTCCGTATTTTCCTCTGTATTTTGTCTGTAAATCGTCTCTTACAATAGTAAGTTACAATGGCTATTTATAGTGCTTATGGATCATATCTTTAGGAGTTTAAATCATAGTAGAACTCTATCCTATTTTTAGGAGTTTGAATCCTAGTAGAACGAAAAGGTGTGTTGACAACCGTTACACTCGTAATAGTGTCCAATATCGCCCACGGCCACAATCACAGTAAACCTCAAATGACCAAAAACGTGACCGTGACCATTGCTACATTATTTTTTTTCTAGGTTTATGTTCTTCTCTACGTCGAATTAATTGGAGCATGAATTCATCATAAAACAATATAATTGAGTTTATTTTGATTCATATATCGTTAATAAAAACCATTAAATCAAACATACTTAATATCTCCAAATGGCTGACATGTGGTTTTGAGAATGGCTAGTCAAGGTTGGACGCCATAGAGAAGCCCTCCAAAGGCCCTATCAAACCCATTGCATATTTGGGCCATTCACTTGAATTCATGAAGTGTAAATTTATTCTCACTAATAAGTACTATATAATAATAAAAATAACTTAAATTTTAAAATAATATTATTGAATAAAATAGTAATGAATGAATCTTTGAATATATTTGTAGAACGACTATAGATAGTATTTGAATATGTATAAGTTATATTTATTATTATGGCTGGGTTGTATCATTTACTAGTTGAGAATGTTAAGATACGTCCGTCAAACTAAATAAATTCTTCCTGACACCATACGAAAGAACCGAGATGTCTTCGTTCTAACAATAAGAGTCTCTACATTGTTGGTTCAAACATAAAAATACCTTCACTTTGCAAGTGTTGAGATGAATCCCTTACAATAATAGGAATTTCTTCATTATTATTATTATTATGAGTATCTAGATGCCTTTGTCCAAACAATAGAAAGTCAAAATCCCTTTTTTGCTACACAATGTTGATGTCAATTCATTTTGTCAACCTATGAATAATAATCACGACTCTATACTTAACACTCGCACACTAAGAGTTGATATATAAGTCTCTCAACACAAAGGATGTGCATATCATGAATACTCTTTACCCTTTTCTCTTGACACTATTCATCATCTGAACCCATTTATGTGATTTCAGTGGCACGGGACGAACATAGAAATTAAGACTCTAATAATAAGTATAAAAAAATTGAGTTGTAAGAACAAGCAAAACTAAATAAATTTGTTTGTAAATTGTTTTTATTACGTTTAATAAGATATCTAATAAATATGTCAAATTATAAATAGAAAACATCGAGAAAATTTAGGAGAGCCCATGTTAGATTTTAACATAATCCATCTTGTCAACAAAATAATAAAAGAATAATCAAGGGAAAAGTAAAAAAATAATAACTTAAAAATACGATATTAGCATCACCGTTAATTTTTTTAATGGTGGGTATAAAAACAAAATATAAAGTTAAGTATGATTTTAAAAAATGATAATTAGATGACCGAAATAGAAATAAAATAATAAGTAAATGACAAAATAAGTAATTTATCTTCTTCTTTTTTTAATTTTAAGGACGAGTTTGTTATCATTTTCGTTCTTCCTAAAATAATTCGTTGTGATTCTCCACTCAAAAACAAAATAGATGAATAGTTGGTAACCCACATTTTATAATTTAAATTAAATAATTTAGAATATAAACTATCCACAAAGAGCATTGTAATCATTATTAGAGGTGTAAACGAGTCGAGTCGAGTTCAAGTATTGCTGAGTTCGACTCGAAAACTTTGAAACAGAGCTCGATTCAACTCGAAAATTCACGAGCTTAAAATTTTCAAGCTCGACTCGAACTCGAAAACATGAACTGAAGCTAGTGAGCAGTTCTAAAAGGCTCGAAATGAAAAAAAAAACTTAAACTTAACTCGATTGAAACCTCAAACTTGAACCTTAAATACATGAAAATCTTATTGTATTTTTTTAAAAAAAAGTCCACATAAATTTTAATATTATTAATAATTTATTTAAAAAAAATAAAATCTTAATATATTATATTTTCGAACTGCTCATGAGTTTTTCGAGCCGAATATCAAGTAGTTTATTTTGGCTCGTTAATAACTCGAGTCGAGTCTATTCGATCCGAGTATTTATCAAGTATTAATCAAATTAATCTCGATTAACTCGCGATCTCTCTCATCTCATTTACGGTACTAATCATTATAATACCAACTTAACCATCCATCTCTCTTGAAATCCAAGTATATCCCAATCATGATCTGAATCAAGATAATTAATGGCCACTCATGTTTTATCTTTAATTAAGAGAAGCAATGTGAGGAATGAGGACAATGAGAATGGACGGGAATTGGTACGTGCGGGTGAGTTGGGGGGACAGGAAGGTCTGAGTCGGGTCCTATCAGTGTCTCCTGCATGCTCATGCATCCTATCCTACAACTGTTGGTTCACCTTTTGCTTTTGCTTTATCTGATGTGATCCCTTCTTTGTTGCCTCTCTCGATGGACCAAGCTCACTTTTCAAAACCCTACGCTTTCCTGGTATTATTTGTACATACAAAAATAATACTAGTACATGTGTGCCTCTCCCACTCATTTGTCTGACCTTGTAGCTGCACGCGCATGATACAAATATACATCGTTTTGCAGAGAGTGCGATCCGACAAAGGAATGTCGAATTATTAGGGAATAAGGACACGTGCGGTGCAACGCATAAATCAATCCGACTCAAAGAATGTGATTGAATTGCCTTACAAATCACTGTTTTATTTATATTATTATTGCCGGACACACAAACCAGCGTGGCCCATGCTGCATCATTCTGGTATACTTTCACAATCCAACAGCCTCATTCTTTTTTTATTATACAAATCACTGTTTTATTTATATTATTATTGCCGGACACACAAACCAGCGTGGCCCATGCTGCATCATTCTGGTATACTTTCACAATCCAACAGCCTCATTCTTTTTTTATTAATTCAGATGGATTGATTTAAGGGTAAATTGCTAATTTCATCACTTAAATTTATTCTTAACTTTAATTTAGTCATTAAAGTTTAAAAAATTTCAATTTCAGTTATTCAGCTTTCAAGTTACTCCTATTTCGGTCACTCCATTCTTGAATCACAAACGGTGTGATGGCACACCAAAACGACATCGTTTTGAATTCCTAAAAATTGAAAAGTTTGACAAAAACAATAATGTTTATGCCCTTGTAAAATAACTTCTATAAGAACCCAAAGTTATGTCATTTTAGCCTAATCGAACCCTTAAATTCAATCACGGACAGACATAAAATTCTATGCTAAGGGGACGAACTTGAATTTATAAAATTTTAAGGGGCGAAATCATATTTTTAATATAAAATATATAAAAAAATCTGAAATATATAATAATTTTAAAATTTTAGGGGACGATTGTTTCCGCCAATATCGCCTAGGTCAAATCATCTTAAATTATAAAATTATAATTTTTGCCACTACAATTTTTTTTATTTTCTCGCATGATTATTCCTCTAAAAAATTCTATTTAATGGTTCCAAATTCGGCTCCCCTCGGTTCACACACCCACAAAGGCAAAAGAAAACACATCCCACTAGGCTTCACCTACTACTTATTATCGCTATATCTATGTATCTGTAATTTTTACTAGCTTAGTTGAAGCTTCCAATAATCATCACATACACAGTAGTTATTTCAGAGTCAATTACCATGAAGATGATGATAGACCTTGGGAATCAAAGAGGTCATCCTCTCCATATAAACACAATGGACATTGCGATGGCCACTTCGATCGATTGTGGCCGTGAAGTTCGGTTCCGCCGATCCATATGGTCCCTTGTCGAATGCATGGTCCCTTGTTTCGGCTTCCCGCCTTCGGTCCCGGTCTCCGGCAACGACACCGACTCGTTGAACACGCCGACTTCTCCTTCGACGTCGACCATCACCGGGACCTTCTTCGGGTACAAGAAGGGTCGCGTGAGCTTCTGCCTGCACGACGACACGCGGGGATCTCCGATCCTGCTGTTGGAGTTGGGGGTCCCGACGGCGTACCTGGCGAGGGAGATGCAGCACGGGCTGATGAGGATAGCGTTGGAGTGCGAGAAGAGCAAGGAGAGGCCGTCGTCGTCGTCGTCGTGCTGGCTCTATGAGGTGCCGGTTTGGTCCATGTACTGCAACGGGAGGAAAGTTGGGTTCGCCGTAAAGAGGCGGGTGAGCGGCGGAGATGCGGCGGTGCTGAAGACGATGGAGTCGATGTCGGTGGGGGCGGGGGTTTTGCCGGTGGGGGGAAAGTGTGAGGAGGAGCTGATGTATATGAGAGCTAGTTTCCAGAGGGTGATTGGGTCACCACACTCGCACTCGTTTCACATGATTAACCCACTGGGTAGCACTGCCCAGGAACTCAGTATATTCCTATTCAGATCATAACATCTTATAGTATTTTACTTTGTATTTAAGTAGCACATTACCATGAATAAATTCTCTTAGTTTTCTTTCTCTACATTATTTAGGCCAAATTACAGCCTGAAGGAACAGAAATTTTCATATAAACACTATACTTTTTTTAAAATGTACATAAAACTTGTGAAATTTAAACTTTAATCATCCAATGTTTATATTAAAGCAAAACATAAATTCATTACTATAATTGAATAATAAAAATAATAATAATAATAATAATAATAATTATGTGAAATTTAATTTATCATATTTAATAAAAAAAGTTAACCGTTTAATTCAAAAAAAAAATAAAAAAAAATAAAAAAAAAATCGAACGGTGAAATTAGAAATGGTCAAACTGCTTTTGAATGAATATGGGATAATGATTAAAAAAATACACATGAGTAAATGCTTATGTCATCCGAGGCTTGATGCATTAAAATTATAAAATTAAAGTGATGGATATTTTATAATCTAAAATGTCATTTTATTTATTGTCGGTGTCAACTATACAAAAAGGAAGTGTATTTTATTAAGAAAAAAGAATATTTATTACAATTAGTATCGCAAGGCAAATGTTAATCATATTTATAATTAATTATTAAGTTGAAAAAAATGTGTGCATAGAGAGAGAATGGGAAACACTTCACGTGGAGACGAATACGATGACATGCGAAGAGACAGAGATGCCCTACGCCACGCCATTGATGATTTAAGAGAAAGAAGGCATTGCATTTGAAGGACTGACGTGACAAACAGATTACTGTCCCCAACAAAATCACTTGAACCATGCATCATTATTAAAATTTTAAGAAAAAATTAAATTTATTATTGTTAGAATTTAACTCGAATTTAATCAAGTATCTATCCATGTGAACAAATACTAAGGGTAAGAGTTAGATGTCAAATTTTTCTTTCATCAAAATTCTCTTGTATTTTCTTCTTTTATATTGAAATTATCTCCTTTATATTTGGTTTTTCCCTTTTGGATTTTTCACATCTTCAACCGTAACTGTTTATTTGTTTAACGATAATCGTTTCAATATTATAAAAAATTGGTATCCTAGATTCAAAAGGGTACGAATTCTTCAATGAAAGTGAAGCTATGAAGATTTGCAAGCGTTCTCTTGTTGCAATGAAAAGAAAGAGCAATACTGCCAAGTTTTATGTTTTACAGGATTCACCGGTTTTAAATAATGCAAGTGATGTTTCCTCCTGTGTCAAATAACATTGTTATTGGTAAAAACGTCTTGACTAAATCTAGCAAAAGAAGTTTTTTTGTTGAACAAGATAATCGTGGACATATTAGTTATGTGAATCAGAAAAGAGTTTAATTCCGTGGGTGTAACGAATTTGAAGATAGAATTATTATTAATAATCGGGATCGTGTTGTGCATGATATTGCTCGTAGTGATACATTTGTGAGTAAATTTGGCACTTACAATAAGCATGTTGATGTGAAAACTAAATCCAAACTTAGAAAAGTTGGAATTCGGTCAGTGTCCATTACCGAAGATAACTCCATTAAGGGTGTTGTGGAAGAGGTGAAGAAGTGTTCGTTGAAGTGGAGAATTGTTTTTGTTGAGAATTTTATTAAAGTGGATTTATATTCTATGTAGTTTTTCTTTGTAATGAAGTATCTATCCCTATAAATAGATACTAAGGGTAATGGTTAAATATCAAGTTTTTTTCCGACCAAAATCCTTTTGTATTTTCTTCTTCATATAGTGAAGTTCTACTCCTCTGTCTGTGGTGTTTTGCTTTTAAGTTTTCTATGTAAATCTTGGTATCCTTTGTTTTTCTTTTTTGATTGTGTTTATTTTTCTGCCGATAATTGTTTCGATATTTTAACAAATGTAGGGGAGGGAAACAGATTCTAAATAGAAATTACATAAAAAAATATAAAATATATGATAATTTTAAATTTTCAAAGAATAATTGTATTTGTCCATCCTCGATCTAACAAATTTTGACTAAATTCCATTTAGTAGGAATAAAACTTTTTAAAGAAATTCAGATTTGGAGCGAATGAGATAGGTTTTGAAAAATGAAGTCGATGTCGAATTAAGTTCATATTTAAGATAAAAGTTCTCTAAATATCCTATGACTAACAATCATGACACCAGATGTTCAAGCACAATATATGTGACTATTAAATCTAGGATAAACTGTACATTTATTATCTTAACTATTACTTTTATTTCATTCTAGCCACCAAATTATATTTTATTTCAAATTTGTACACGATGTTACATTTCGATTATTCACCATTAAAAAATTAACAATGATGCTAACGTATTATCATAAGATAATGACACGTTATAATTAAAAAAATAACATCAACAATTTTATTAATTTTTTAACAAGTGACCAACATAAAACCAAAACATAACATTAGGTAATGTTATATTACGTCACTGAAAATGTGACAATATCTCTTTCTTCACATATAGATTGATTTTAATGTATTATTCGTGACGATGTGAATTATTAATAACAAAATTTTATATAATTTAATGACGTAACTAGTTTGTCATTGAGTATCAATTATAAAGTGACGTTATGTATAAACGTCATTTATACTGCTAATAGGTAACCATGTATTGCGTCACTAATATTGTGATAACTTTTTCTTTCGTCACGTATACAAAGAAATTATTGAGTTATTGGTGACGATATGGTTTATCAATGACGAAAATGTACATTATTTGGTGACATAATTAATTGTCATTGAATGCAAATTATAATGTGACATTATCTATTAACTTCATTATATGTTTAATAAGACGTGACGAAATCTTATACATCGTCACATTTGACATTTAGTGACACACCTAGGGTGACGTTCGCCGTGACGTCAATTTTTATGTCACAAAATACAAATAGTGACAATATTTCAGATGCCACAAATAATCAAATTTGTTGTAGTGAGTGTATGTACATGTGTGTTAGTGCGTCATAGTGTTGCATGCATATCTTCTCTTCTCGTCAAGGCATGCACATGGTTGACGCGTTACTGCTTGTGCTAAATGTGCTGCCAGTGTGACTGTGTGCAGTACTACTTGTTCTAGAAGCACAACTCCATTCCGAGGAGGGAAACAATGATCAGAAGGATCTGCAAAGAAAGCTTCGCAGTCATCCACTTTTCTATGGCATAACAATGGGGCTGCTAGCTGAGGTTATAAATTCTAGGTAATTATTCATAGCCTACTGCGTATGCTGAACAAATGATGCTGAAGTGATCCAAAATGCATTTTTTTAGTGGTGTGCAAAGTGTTCAATTATTGGTTGTTGCAGTAACTTGTACCATGTTTCACGGTTAGATGATACAAGTCCTGAGCTGTGTAATTGCAGTCGGGAGTGTTAGGTTTATTCACCCGCAATTGTTAGTATTTTTTTTTTAAGTTTTTACCCCACTTGCCACAGGCTTTTTACAACTGTCCGAGATTCCCTTGGGTTAACATATGACGTATCATTTGAGCTGAACTTGTTTGATCGACTTAAGCTTGGATGGTATGTGATATCTGTAACATCAACTCCAAGCAAGGTGGGCGACCAATCCAGATACATCTGCGTTCTTTTGTTGTTTTCGTGGGTATTATTATTGTCCTTTTGACCTCATCACTGATTTTTGGGATTAACTTCCAGGTATATAAAGCTGTTGATGCTTGCAAGAATGTTCTTAGAGGTTTACACACCAACAGGATTTCTCCACGGTAATTGGAGGGGGTTAGTTCTTATATAAGTACTATGACGTGTGTTATATATTTTATGTTGCGATGTAATTCGAAATTGGTGTGGAAGAACGTGGTTCAGGTGGAAAAAAAGAAACAGAATTTACACGAGCTAGCTTTCATTTGTTTAAGTTTATAAATGCAATCCTTAAACACGCAGGCAAAGCGGACTCTTTTAATGAGACACGAAGCGGAAGTAAAGTCAAATGCGTGTTGGCTTGGACTATTGGCTCGCCTGCAAGCTTCTTCTGCTCCTAGAAAGGTGAAATGAAATTAGATAGTTCAGTCTTTATATTCTTGTTTTCCAATACCTCGTACCTTTTTTTATGTGAAAGAGATCCTACCAATATTTTTGAATTCTTATTTGTCTCATGGTCATGGTAATAAATTCCAAATTTGCTTTATTCTTTGGAGTTCAGGACATATCATGCATCAAAGAGCTTACTTCACTCTATGAGGGTGCTTCTATTGAAGATATCTACCTTGCTTTTGACCAGCTGAAAGTGGATGAAGATTCTTTGTACTCATGTATTGGAATCGCAGGGGCTGATGCCGGTGAAGATACTACGGGTGAGGACCTGCCTCAGATTTATCGTCTTATTTGGCTATTCATTTTTACTTTATTTTGTTTTCCTTAAAATTTGAGTGCATATTCCTTAGAAGAGGAAGAATCAACTAAAGTGAAGGCTTCCAAGTTGTTGTTCCGTAGGGCGCGGTTTATCTAACATGACAAGGCCAAAAAAATGAACCTCTTTGATGCCGTCGGCCAGCCGTCGTGTTGGCGAAATCTCTCCTAAACCACCCTTCTTCTCCGGTGGAAGCGCGCTGGCAGGAAGGGACCGGCTTTGGGAATTTACATGATTTTGACACCGACAGACTCGATGGTATTCTTTCGAACGATGGGAATTTTGGGTGAATAAGGCCCCCTTATCAATATGTACCCATCTTCCTTTTTTAAACGTGCAAGGCAAAATATAATGAATTCAGAGCTCATTACATGTTTTGCTGTTTTTCTGCAACAAATATGAAATTTCTATCGTTTGGTGAAATCAAAGAAGTCTTTTAAAATTAGAAAATATGACGACAAAATATATGATATTATATTTTTGATTGGTTGAATTTGCTTCGCGCTCGTTAATTTTTAAATTTACGACGTCGCTTTGTAGTGTGGTTCTGCATGTTTTTTTTTGGGGACAATCGACAGTTTTGACTTGAAAAAATTGTTCTTATCACTTAAAATAATAAAAACACTATTCCGGCTCCTCTTTAGATGCTGGAATTCAGAATCCAAAAATGGGGACGCCACCCAATTCTGCCTCCTACACTGACACTGAGGGCGGTGCATTGGCCGTGCTACTGATGTTTTCGTTTCTTTCATGGTGATCTGATAGACGGTGTTTTTCTTTTCATAATAAAACCATACAAAACCCAACCCTAGGCAACATTCCCACAAAGGGTGCATAGTTAGTTAAGGCAATCACATTCTCATTATATATATATATATATTCTCTCTCGGCTCAACTATCACATCATATTATACCACACCTAACCAAGCATTAATATACAGATATGATCCACTCCACACACAAATACAATCCACCATTGAACATGTAAACTGAGCTGTAAATTGCATTTCACAAAAGTATAATATAGATATAATTACATGCATCACAAAACATGTAGGTCATAGTGAAGCTAGGGTCAAATATAACAGAATACGCTCATAATCAGAGACATCAGGTCACACACCTGACCCAAAGAAAGAAAGAAAGAAAGAACCATTAACGCAAGTTAAACCTAAGGAAAACTGCAGTTTTACTACATCTGGAAGCAGCTGGATTAACTTACTTGTTTCTCGAGTTGGTTCTTAGTCATGGAACTCAAAATATCCTTTACGTTCTCTTAAGCTTCTTCCTCTCCTATAGTCAATCTCCGCATCAGAGCATGACAAGCCCGTTTGATATTTCCTGCTCCTTGACGAACCCTTCTTCAAAAGTACATCCTCTTCATCGGTCAAGGGATGGTCGATAGGCATACCTGACCCAGAGACATCAGCCACCTGCCTCCTTGATTTGTGATCTGCACCGTATTAGGAAAGAACGTTATTGATTTTCATGTAACAGGGCACAATAACTAGGATGCACGAGATTCCTATTACAGTGCCGAAACAGTCCAGATGCTCAGGAACTTAAATTTTCTTGAGCAAGATTAAATTGTTTGATTCATCACGGCCTCCAATTCTATCACAATGTTATTGTCTTTTACTCCTTTTACAGTAAAAGTTCAGATATGTACCTTAATAAATTTGGGTATAAAGTAGGATTACTAATGCCACAAATTATCACTAAGAATTTTAAAATAAATATATCCAAAATCCTTAAAAGGTTAAATATGAAGATGCCAAGGACTTTCAGTAAAATTGCAGTTGTACGACTTCTTGACAACCAACTGCTTGAGTAATAAATGAAGATTAGATCAACTAGAGGACACTTTACCTTCATATCCATTGCATGGCACTTGCACATCATGCTGTCCAGCCCAATGGACAACATCAGGTTTTGATTTTCGTTTCATATCACGCAGAGAGTTTTCCTGTAACCTCTCTGCCTTCGGTCCTTTGGCAGCCAATGCAAGTTCCGTATCCTCGGCAGGTTTATCTATAGGAAAAGGTGTCATTGTAAACGAATCATCTGTAACATCATTAATCTCTACATATTGAGTAGTAGTGATTATTTCATCTGCACTGAATCCAAAGGAAGCCCTATAAGCTTCAAGTTCTTCTACATCTTGCTTAGGACTTTTACTCTGCTTATTTTGATGCCCACTGCTACTGGTAGGGTAAACATCAGAATCCTTCGAAACACTTAATCTCCCAACAGCATGAGGAAGTGGATTCTGATCCAGATAGAATCGTGCAAATGTATCGGGACAAAAGAAGTTAGTATCTTGAGACCCTATGGAGGAACCGATTGCATCATGCTCAAATAGCCTGCCAGAACCACTCCTGGAACATTTGCCATTCTGAGGAGAAATTGAAGGATCCCATTGTGGAGGAAAATCCCGTTCTGGAAATGAGGATGACAAACAGTCGGCTGAAGTCCTAGAGATTGGCGATCTGAGACTACTAGCAGGACTGCCTGGGTAAAGTGAATATGTAGATTGAAGATCGTTTGCAGCAATATAATTATTCTTATTGGCATTTTCAAGATCTGCAGAGGTGGTCAAGAACCGTGCAAAAGGGACATCAGGTGAAGAGGGGGTAGTCAGGTGGGCCAACTCGGGAGGAGGAGTGAGAGGAGCAGTGGAAGGCTCGGTTGTGAAGGTTGAGAAAACAGGAGGAGAAACTAGTTGTGTCTCATGGGCATATGGTCCAGTGGCAAACATTGTGGACGACGGCCTTCCAGGTGAGTTAGCTGATAATGACAAGAAGCAACTAGGTGATTGAGCAGTTGAAGGGATGGCAGAATTGGAAAATGACGCTGGGGAAGAAGGCGGTGCTAGAAGCGATGGAGCTAATGAAGTAGATTGATTGGTCAACCCAGCAACAGCCTGAGAACCATTCGGCTGGGCAGCTGATGCATTGCCCTCAGGCATACGAGATGCAGGTACAATCCGTTTTCCACCTTTCTTTGTACCTAAACAGGAAAATGCCCCCCAACATCCTCCCCATCTCTTCTGCTAACAACAAGATTAAACATAGAAAGATTATGATACTAGAAAAGAAAATTGAAATTAAACAAGTAAAAACCAGCAATCCCCATAACTTCTAAAAAAGCCAGACAAAACTCAGAAACAGAGATACAAGTACTACAAAATATCTCTACATCTACTGCAACATTAAAGGCAACGCATATAACAAATACCCAGATTCTGCATATACAAACAAAAGAGAGGGAGAAAATCATTATACTGAATCGTGTGTTTCTACTTAATAACCTAGAACAGAAAACTCACGTTCCCTGAAGAAGAACAAGAACTTCAAGTAAAAGTAAAAGAAAAAGAGAACATGCCTAGAAGAATGCAACCTTAAACAAAAACTTAGGCACATGGCTACGTAAATTTGCAATGCCATATTTGCAAGTTTGAGCTTCTTTTAGAGTTAGATTTACAATCAAAGTTGACGAAGATGCTGTTCAATGTCGAAATTTTAGGTAAATCACGTTTAAGACTCAAGAGAAGGGATCTATGTATCTTAAACAGTTGACTATCATCAACAAAAACAATTTGGTAAACAGAATTTGAACTAAGGATGTAGTGAAGTAGCTGGATCTGTAGATGAACGAAGAGTGAAAGAAACCAAGTACATGTACGTACGATCAAAGAAAAAAGGAAACAATTAAAACTCTAATGACTAATGACAATTCAACAAAAACAAAGCACAAAGAAGAAAATCAACCACACCAAGGAATCCAGCATTTCATCAAGAGTGTAGGCAGGTCTCAATCAAATGGCCCAGCTCAGAGTTTTTTTCTCCTCCTCCTTCCAATTGATTTTCACTATTTCTTTAAAGAAAAAAAAAGAAGTCCATATTACAACTAGAAAGCAAATCTGAGCACAATAGAGTAATAAGTAGCAGCAGACATGAAATCAGATCTGAGACAATTTTTGAGGCAAAAATGAACAGATCTAAACAAGGAACGGGGAAAATAGAACGTACCCGTTCTTGCTGGGGGAATCTGTTCGGCTGGGAACCCATTTTGGGTGGGGAATTAAGATTTTTTTTTTCTTTTTTGATATATGAGTAGCAGTAGTAGTACAATAAGAAGAAAACAGATAGAATGATTAGGAGGAAGTTAAATTAAGAGGAGATTGATGAACCCAGAAAAATCCATCATTCATTTACATTTCTTTTTTGCTTATTTATTTGTTTCACGACATTTGGAAAAGATGAAGGGAGGAGGAAGATTGAGTGAGGGAACACACACACTCCTTTACTCCTTAACACTGCTCTAGGCCGTGGCCTGCCCAGCTACTAGCTCACCTTCCCCCCTCCCCCCCTCTTACTAGTATTACGAAGTTTTTGGATAAAACAATCAGATGATCTCCCAACTATAACTCGTTTTTTAGTTACGTACCTCAATTATAAAAAAATTATAAAATAGTAATTTGAATTAATAGAAAATTATAAATTGGTCCTTTATGTTAAAGATGTAATGGCGATTATGTAATAACTAATAAAATTGACACATGCTTAAATTGGTTATGGCTGTCGTAAGAGTAATTGTCAGTAGTAGTCGTGGATTCATGAGCAGTGAAAACAAGACCAAGAATTGAGGGAATAACATTATCCTGAGAAATGTGAGTAGAAGATTAGAAAAGAAGTAACTAAGGATTCATGCAATTGAGTATATTTTGGTGAAAACAAATGGACTCGACCTTATAAATTTCTTTATTAGCTTATCGATAAGACACGTCCTCAGTTGTTCAAACCCGAACTCTTTAAAAATAAATAACATTCCCTTTTATCACTATAACACTTCCTTTTATCATTAAAACGATGAATAATTCTCTTAAAATAACTTGTGGTTTACTAATATTAAATCATTGATTTAATCCTAAACAACCCTTCCCCTTTCACTTAAAAGAACAAGTTTCATACTTCGTTGCATAATATTAATATATCGACTTCCAAAATGCAGCTCAATGGGCAGTGATATAAATTAGCTCAGCTGCTCAGGCATAGGGTAACGTTATTGCAAACCACATTACGCCAAGTTCTTAATCCCATTTTAAGAATCTACCTAAATAACAACACTTGAAAAATCCAATAATTAAACCAAAAGTAAACCATCCAACAGACAAAAGTACAGCGCGGCACTAAATCCACCATTTTTGTGCAGATAGCAAAGCAACAATACTGTTAAAATTCCATATGGTCTGAAACTTCAGGAAACATTCATGGCTTCAGCATGATAGTTCTCAAGCTCCTTGTCAAGATCATCTGCCGATTTCTCTACAGGCTTTCTTTTTCCACGGCCTCGGCCTCGGCCTCTACCACGACCACCTCCACCACGGACATTCCTCATACCCATGCCCCCCCGACGACTGCAACAAGATCCAGCAACTAGTAAGCTAACAGCGGATACCAAAATTCAACCACTTATCATTGTTAGGAAACTATCTGGGGAAAGATGGAGTTTAAAATGCTTTCAATCAGTTCAACTCATCCACCACCCCTAATCTGCAAAGATCGCGCGATAAGCCAAAATACAAAGCACAGGTAATTGTTCCATCTACAATATTCACCACTGCAGCCTCCCTTGCGGCAGGTATATATGGTTACGGTAAACCAACCCAAAAACTATGACAACACTGGCACACCTATTAAAAAATTTAAAGGCTCTAAGATGTAATTGCTCTAAGATTTTGTTCTAGTTTTTAAACTGTATGAACAACAGGCTCAAGGAAATGACACATAATACAGGATGTCAAGGGCCAAGGACATTATTTAGGCCAAGGGCTCCAAGGAACTGCAGGAGAATTTGCAAATGCCAAGTCTCTAACCCCAACCTCGTGAAAAATTACCTCCTAAGGAAGATGGGTGAATCATTTAGATTAAGCCATAGATTATGAGGGGTCATCTACAAAAGCAAGTCCCAATAACTTAAAAAATTGCTCAACTCACAAGATAAGTTATCTGACAATGTGTTCAGTAGAAATGAAAATGGCAGAAAAGAACTCATGCTTTCCTTCCCCTCCTTTTTATTTCCAGTTCTAATAAACGCAATGTAACACTCAAAAAGTTTCACATACAAGCTTTATACAAACATCTTACAAGAAAGAAAGAATTAGAAAATTATTGATCATATTTTAGATTATTTTAAATTTAATGCCAATTATAACATACATATGTATGCTAAGCAATGGAAATCTATATTATACAGGTGTTAGAATTAACTGTAACTTACTTAAGACCACGATTAATTCCAGCAGCGCTTCTCGATTGACCTGCTCCAGGCCTGCACAAATACTTATCAGTGAAGTTATTGTAAAATGGTAAAGAAAAATACAAAAAAAAACTAATCAGCAAGGAATAGGCAGAAAGACTGTGGACAAAAAAGGAAGTTTACCAGCAACTTCAACACTTATAAGTAGAAATATGTTCGCAGCCCAAGCTCCATAAACAACATATATATTTTGATTGATCATTTCTCTTTCTTAACTCTCTCTCTCCATAGCCCTGCAGTCATTCCTCTTATGCATCATCTCACTGTTTTGAGGTGGCCGGGTGTTTTTTAGGAGTTTTTCAGGTCTAATATTTTCACATCCAACAAGCAGAAACAAAAGTCCTTTGTATTTACTTTCTTCATTTGGTGTTTGTGTTGCCTTGTGTCAATATTCCAAAACCATATGCCTAATACGGTATTAAATACATATTCCATATCTCTATCCTCTAATATTGAATTGATACTGGTATGCTACCTTAAATGATGAATCCATGTAAGAAAGCTTAAAAACTAAAACTGAATGGATGCTTAAAAACATATATTCTAGATGAGGGTTCAGGCTTTATTTCAAAAATGAGTGTAGCTTAAAAAGAGTTACTAACAGCTTAAAAAGAGTTACTAACATTTGATAAGACACGAATATGCATCCCAGGATATGAATTCAAAACAGAAACTGAAAAGCTTATTGGTAAAATAAAACAGAGAAAGAAATAAGCAAGAATATTGAATCACACAAGTCATGATAATCAAATAAGACAGAAAGAACATAGAATCACATACGCCATAACAACGGTCCTCTTCTGCCTTCCCCTTGTTCCAGTTACATTAACGCGAGCTGAAACAGGGACTTCTGCATTGGCACCAACAATTTCAATTATCATGGGTTTTCCATCCAACAGTACATTGTTGTACCTCTTAAGAGCAGCAAATGCGTCACTCCTCCTAAGATAGACAACTTCAGCTGAACCCTGAAAACATAAATCAAACACCATCGAAGTAACAAACATTTAACACTGGAATAAGAACAACCATGTAACATATATGGTAGATATGAATGGGGAAAATATGAAGAAGAATGTAAATTAGAATATGAAGGCAAATGACTAGTCAGAAAGAATGTTTCATCATCAAGGAAAGAAACCACTCCCAAGCTTTAAGCACATCTCTACAGTCTACACATCCAAACACGCAGAAGGAGCAAAAAAGGAAGGATATGGGCAGTCACCTCAAACCAAATACCAATTAGAAGAGGCATAATAAGAATTCAAAGTTAAAAGTAAACTTGAAAAATCCAAGAGTTAGCATGTCTGTAAAAAGCAGTTGCTAAAAGCTCTACTTTAATACAAAATAACAAAATTATTGACCAATTAATATGCACAATTCATGCAATGGAATTGCCGAAGTTTTCACAACAAGTAGTTGCTGCTAGCATCAACTTAAGTTAAGCCAATTCTTTATTCATTGAAGTGCACACAATTCATACAGTAGAACTATCCTTGAGTTTTTTAAATATCACTGCTTTAAGAAAACTGTAAATCTGTCAACATGCCAAAACCAGTTGAGTCAGATTCAATTAGCATAAAAGATGAAACTTCCATAGAATACCAGAGGCAATTAGCATAAAGGATGAAACTTACACTTGAACGACCATTTTTATCATAATGTACAGAGTATCTTTTCAGCTCTCCGATCTCAGAGAAAAGTTCCTGTCACGTGGATAAAGTTTCAGGATGTTTCTCAAAATACACTAATAAAATGGACCATAGCCTTTAAGTTTTCATAAATATAACACTTTACCTTGATATCTTCATTTGTGACCCCAGGATCCAAGTTGGAAACATATAGCTTGGTGCCAACTTCTACACCAGATATCCCTGCGGCTCTAAGGCTGTCTTCAAACAAATCATGTTGCCAGGGCAAGCTCCTTGTTTTGTGGGAAGACTAATGAAAGCAAACATAATGTGTCAGCTTATTACTTGAAAGCAAGATCACTGTCATCAGTATGAATAATGATCAGCTATATTCCCACAGAACATTATAACAAAAGTAGAAGCAGTAGAATCCAGTTCAGTAAAATGTTAAAGCAATCTAGCGATTCATCAGTAGGTTCAGAGTTGAGGATTAGAACCACTACATTTCAATCACTGCTACACTATGACCATGGGCGAGAATACCAGTTCTACAGCTATCAGCTAATGAGAAAGGAGTTGAAATCTTGCACAGAAAGAAAATTCGAAGAATAGAAAGAGCATCCACAAATTCATCATAAATGCCAGACAGGCATCAAACACTAACTAAAATACAAGCATATTTTATGGTTAACAAAATGGGAGATGCCCAAAATCCTAAAAAGCCTTCAACTTACCAGAATTCCATCTAAAAAAACTAACGAAGCAGCAATGTACAAAAAAAGTTAGGATTGACAGAAATCCCAGCACCAAAACTTTGGAAAATATCAATGAGATCCCCAGATAAGAAACCCTAATATAATGTGATCCCAAATAATGTCCAATAAGCATAGGTTTGAACTTGCCTTAGTAATGTAATGCTGGGATGGGCGGGCATTAAGACCGAGGGGGCCTCGACTAGTAGAGAGAGGCACTCTTCCAGCAGAAGGTCTTCCGGTGCGCGGCGGCCTAAGGCGGGTTCTGCCTCTCCCGATATTATTTCGATTTACCATATCATCCAGAAAGCTAGGCATGAAACAAAGCTAAAACAAAAACAAAATCATTAAAAAAAAACTAAGTAAAATAGAAATTTATTGCTGAATTGAAGACGAGGAAGAGAAAATTACCCGAGAAAGAAGAGTAGAGAAAGATGAGAAGACTCGGACTAAGGAGAAGGGAAAGGTAATTAATTACACTGATATATTGAGAAACTTTCGAGAATCACAATCTATTCATTCAGATTTTAAGGCTTTCGTATTGGTATTTTATTGAGTAATTTAATTAGACTTAATACACTACCTAAATTATAACTCAAAATATGGTTTTGTGTTTAAAATTCTTTTTTCTAACGATAAATGTTTAATAGTTTCAACATTATATTTTTATGTGTTCGGGTCTTGATTACTATTAAATTAACTGTTAGGTGACGCATGCCATTCTAATATTTTTAAAATTTTTTATTTTTAAGAAAAGTAAGAATATTATTAATTTAAAAGAAAAACCCAAGTTTTTTAAAAATTATAAAAAATGGAAACCTTAAAATTTCTCATTCCAACCCACGTTATCATCCATCGTTGATCATCACCGGCCACCTTTATCGCTATCAAATGATCACCTACCCATCATCGGACCTCAACTACTAATCATCCCTCTTGTCGTTATCAAAATCCCTTAAATTCATAATCTCTAAACCTACAACCTAAATTTCTAACCCTAATCCCAAATACCCATAGTCGGTAGTGTAATTTACAAATGATTTACAACCATTTAACTCGTTATATGATTTGCAATGGGCGATTTTTTTTAAGATTTGAAGAATTGTATGAGATTGCAATGGGATTGACACGAGGGAAAGTTTTTTTATCAAAAAAAATTAATAATTTTTTTATTATAAAAATAATTAAATATATCGGTAGAAACTTAAAAGTATAACAGAAAAACATTAGGCACTTATTATTAGCAAAAAATTCTTTAGGTATCAAACCGTAATTTTAAGTATAATTTAGGCACTAAAATGTGTATTAAGCCTTTTGTTTAACATAAGGGTAAATTAAAAACAAATAGGGTTAACTATTTGTATGACCACTTAACTATTGTCTCTTTTCAATTTGACCTTCGAATTTGAAACTTTTTCAATTAGACCACTTAATTATTTCATTGTACAAATCAAGTCATTAGTCGTTAATATTTATCGGAGATGCTGATGCGACAGTTAAAATTGACGTAATTGTATATTTGATTTTCATTGCTTCCACATTCTATCAATTTAATTCTAATTTTAATTTAATTAAATTAAAAAAATCCAACCCTATTTAAAGGCCTTATTCTTGACTTACCAAATATTGTATTTTTTAAAATAATATGGGATGATTATAGGACATTATTTATTTAAAATTTTCTTAGACTTATTGATAATTTATACATTCTACGAATATAACTATTCAAATCCAAAATCTTTAAGAAGAACAATATTTCATTATCGTGAAGTGTGTATTCGTTAAGGTAACGCAGGCACACTAGTTTTAGTATCTACTAGTATACATATAAATAATTATAACATATAAGAGACCCGATGAGATTGCGTGAGAATCCCTTTGTGTGTATGGTGTTGGGGGCCTGTGTTGTATCAACACTATTAATTAAACACTTTAAACATCATTGAATTTCCTTTATCACTCTACTTTATGTATACTTTATTTTATACTTTATTCTCATTTGATTTAGAAATCAAAGAGCTGTGTGCTGATGAACTAATATGACATGGACTTAATCATTGACTTGGAGAATAATGTAGATAGTCATTATTCCCATGCCACTGCGTATAATTGAGTGAAAGAATGAGGCTGGAAAAGGACAGCAAGCACATGGCATGTGGAACCCTATTCGTCTTGTCAACTTATTCATTCTTTTCTCATAGTATATTTACTAAGAAAACACTTGGAAATCACATGAAAACTGTATCAGACAAACATCACTCCAAAAAATGGAAATCCATACCAACACCCTTTCGAGGTATTAATACTCCCCCAAAGCCATATTCCACACAACAAAATTAGGTAAAAAAACACACACCAGAAACAAAAACTTAATTACAACTCAAACCCCTAATGGAAAAGGGAAAATGCATTGTGGTCCACCACAGGCTGTGTTGTTTAGAAACCACATGTATTTCCCAAAAGCAACTGACATCCCGCACATGCTCTTGCCCCCGTTTGCATTTGCATTTAAGCTTTGAACTTGAAGCTAGCACATGTATTTGCACATGCTCTCTGCCCCACAAACCTATCTTATCTCTTAATCATTTTTTTTTTTGCTTTTCATTTATGGCTAAACAAATCCAAACCCTCGCAGCATTTCTTGAGTCACAAGTCATTGAAACCTTTTTTCTAGGACGATCACACAAAAGAAGATAAAAAAGGGTTTAATTAGTTAGAGATTGAATTTTAGGTACTTTTTTTAGTTATGTGTATGCATCTGGGGGCTACTGGTTTGGTGTTTGTCCCCATGAAATGCATTATTGTTGCTTGGATATGTAATTATCTAAATGTTTAGTCATAGTTATTTATAGGTTGTTGTCTGATAGCGAGTGGACCAGTGGCCTCTGGATGGCTAACAAGGTGCAAGGGAGGTGCCTGTGGCATGTAATGAGGTGGTCGTTGGTTAAACCGGCGGCTTGCATGAAGGAGTGGATGACCGTCGGTCCGACGTACCTAAACCCCCTTCTTACAATGTCCTTGCTTATGCTCTCCGACTTTGATGTCTTGACCGGGATCTTGTGATCGAATTTGTATTGCGTCGACAACGGCTTGTGATTTACGAATCCCCATATGTATTTATCGAACGACCCGACCTCCCTCTTGACCTGAATTCGTATGACATAAACACAGAAGCATGTGAGTCGTTGTACTGATCGGTGATCAATGCAATGAAGGGGCCATGACTACTATTTGCACATGATCGAGTTTCAAGCTTCAAGATGACTTGAGAACCACCTAACTCAACAACTTTTCCGAAAGCAGAAGGAAAAGAACATGATAAATATAAATCTGTACATATATAGTGATGATTTATAAATGCTTGCAAACGTGTATTTTTCAACTGCCAAAATTAATTTACCTCGAGAATACGGTTGGAGTTGTCCACAACACCTCGAACTCTGCTTATGTCAATGCCATATCGGGTGCTGATTGTGGTCATTTGCTTCTCGGTGAAGCTGGCTACGGTTTCTGCATCAAACCCTGAAAATGCGTCCCTGTTGAACGTTTAAACAATACATAAATCATGCCAGCCTTAAAATGATCGCGACGATGATCGACCGCAACGAAAAGAATGGTACTTTCTGATGAGATTAGTGACCTGAAGTATTGACGTTTCTTCAAGATCGAAGTCCAATCAGAGCCTACTTGAGCACCACTGAGAACCAACAACTCGAAGAGCATGTTGTCATCATGTGTTGGAATTCCCCATTCTTCGTCGTGATAAGCCACATAGATAGGATCTAGGCATTGAATTGCATATGATTTTAGATTCAAAATCGTTTAAATTTCTATGAAATTAATGAATCTATCAAGTGAAAATTACAAGAACAAGTACCTGAGTTGGGGGTGATGAAACTGCACCTCTTCTTTTCCTCGGCAGACATGGGATTATCGAGAGGAATGACCTGAGATTCGAATTTGGCCGATTTTGATCTTCCGTAGTGTGCAATTCTCATCTTTCTTTGTGCTTGTTGAAGAGCCACCTGTTCCCTCCTGACCGCAGCTATGCTTCCCGGTGCCTCGACCGAGTAGTTCAACGACGAGGGATCGAGTCGATCGACGCAAGAAGATAATCCAGTCCCCATACCCTCTTTGAAACTTTTCGATTTCTTCCTCTCCAAGGTTTTATAAGTACTTCTGGGAATGGCAACCTTTTCGGAACTCGTGTTCAATCCATTCGGATCACTCCCTCGCGGGGCGGGGAACTTCGAGCTTGGGGATAAAGGCGGCGTCAACGAGGCCTTAGCCCTGCTACCATTGGCAGCATTAGTAGCCGGTGAAGTTGATGTTAGTGGTTGAGGTGGTGTTTTCTTCAAAGAATTACGACGCTCGAGGCTCGGAACACGGTTACAAGTAGGCTGAAGAACCAGACGGCCATTGATCCTGGCCGCAGAAGGTGGCGTTATTATCTCAACAGCAGGAGCAGCAGTGGTAGTACCACCTGTAGTCACTTTAGCCTTAGAGGTACACATTTTTTTGTTCTTGTAATTGTTCTGTTGTGAGGGAAAACGGAGTTGATGTGATTGTAGATGCAACAAGGAGGAGTAATGAGGGGAGAGGAAAAGAGAGAATGAAGGGGAAGAGAGGGGGTGATCAGAGAAGAGGGGAATGGTGGGGTTATATAAAAGGGAAGAGAACGTGGGGAGGTTGGGGTCTGCCATACAATCCCTTCTGAAGGTTTGGTAACTGCACCACGAGGGAAGAAGGCCTTCTCACCCTTTTTCTTTTTTGTTCTTAGCCACTTGGCATTGGTTTATACGTAATTATTAATAATTAATGCAAATCATTAATTTGTTATTGTTGATACAACTGAGAGAGAGAGAATGATAGAGATTTGTTGGGTGGTGCTGGTCTCCTATGTTCTGTTCTTGGTGTTGCTGCGCCTGGCTGGCTGGGTTTACTTAGCCTTGGGAAGCTTCCTTCTTATATCTAGCTCATTATATATAAATATAATCTAATGTATAGCTCATTATATATAAATATTATCTATTATAATATAATAATCGATGATATGGATAATCGTTTTGAATTAATTTTAATATTTTTTATTTAATCACAAATCAACTTACCTCAACGATTAAAGGGGTTACGGGTTAAGCACAAAGACTATAATAAAATGTTTAAACATTCATTATCAAATAGTTAAAAGTATTTAGAACAACCATTATTTGTAATCAACTTTTCTGTTCTTATATTCAATTTACTTCTAATTTTTTAATCTAATCACTAAACTTTATGTATTAATTTTTTTTATTAATTGATTGTTTATTTCATAATAATATCATGACATGATTTATTTTAATATTAAAACTCAATTACATAATATTTATATTTATTAAAATATGGATTAATATTTAAAAATCTAAATCTTAAGGTTAAAATTCAAACCCTAAAAATTTTATCGTGAAAAAGAAAATAACATAAGAGAAACCACCATCCATAGCAGTTTGTATCTTTGTCTTCTCTCAAATAGAGAAATCATCATCTTCCATTGCTCACTTTCTTTCATATTCCATTTTGTAATTTCTAAAATGAGATTGCATCCATTCTGAAATTGCAACAGACCTTCGAAATGATGTATTCTATTTCATCCCATCACCGATAATCTCAAATCTCATTTTTTTTTTCTACTAACCCTTTACAATTGTTTCAGTTTCTCTTTGACTTAACCTGCAAGATTTCGTCAATATCTTCTTCTCCAGTACTCTCTATCTCAGTTTCCACGTTGAAACCCAAAGTCGAATTTAAACCTTTGATGGTATGATCTGGAGTTTTAGGGGTTAATATGAAATTTGGAGGTTTTAGGGTTTGGTACATGATTTTGGGTATAATTTGAAAATTTAGATTTGGGTAGAAATTCAAATCTCTTTCTAATTTCACGATCCAAATTTCTGAATTGGAAGGTGATCTCTGGTGAGAGAGAAAGGGAAGAAAATGGGAACTTGGAGAAAATAGGATACGGGAAAGAGAAACAAGAAAGGTTTGAAAGACGAGAAAAGAGTTAAAAAATAATTTGATTTAATCATTTTTTCTAACCTGAAATATAAACGTTAAAAAATAATTTAATTTTTCTACGTCATAACATCGTTAGAGTTAAACGTTAAAAAAAGCTACACAGCTGTTAAACGTGAATTTAAAATACAATTAGTTAATTTAAGGTTAAAAAAGTTTAATATAAAAATAAATGTTTAAACTATATTTAAAATTAATTTTTTGCGTTTAAAGAATTTTTCGTTAAAAATAAGTGTTTAATGTTTTTGATGTTATACTTTTAGGTGTCTACCGTTAAAAAAAAGTTAAATGACATATATCACATTCAAAATATTTTTTAAAAAAATATAAAAATAATATTTTATTTAAAAAATAAAAAAATATATATAAAAATGACACGTGTCGTTTAACAATTCTTTCAACAATAACCGCCTAAAAATATAATAGAGAAAATATTAATCATATATTTTTAACAAAACAAAAAAATTTAGAAACCGAAAATTAATTGTAAGAATAATTGAAACATTTATTTTTTTATTAAGTCTAGAAAACGTTGTAATCGGGATCCGAGTATACCCGAGATGAGGGATATAAAGGTAATTGTGTGGGTGTGTGAGTGTTTATGAAATGACCATCCAGCTCAGTTGGTAGAGCACAAGGTTTTTAATCTTGAGGTTGTGGGATCGAGTCCCACGGAGGACATTTCATAATTCGGAGGTCTCTTACGAAAACTGCTCTCAACCTAGTGTTGGGGGTAACCTACTATCTTTCCTCTCTCTTACCCCATACATATAAGAAAAAGGGACAGCCATGTGTGGGTGTGAGTGGCGGAAAAAGGAAGGTTAGCATGAAAGAAAAGGACTAATGATTGTGTATTTTCCTTTTAGCTGGAGCTGAAGTTGTAGAGCAAGGGAATCTGCCTCTCCCAAGGAACCTTTTGAGGGAATCCCACGGAACAACTTTTCAGAGGAATAATATGTATTTGTAAAATGCTCGTCAATTGTGACCTTATCCAAGCTTTTCTTAACAGTTAAAAAGGCATAATTGATTATCAATTACCACAATTATTGTGAGAAAACGTGATTCCATGATTAAAATGAAAAAGAGATAATAGTTTGATGATCACTCATGTAATTTACCCTTTATGATAAGTGTGTATTATAAATTCATAGGGTCAGTACATGTATGTAAAAAAAAAAAAACCCAGATAGGGTCAGTACATGAATTATATTCTTAAACCCAAACCCATTATCTAAAAGCCTTAAAAGAAAAGAGCCCCGACGTTTATCCTAATAGCAAAGGACAAAATTAGGTTCGGTGGATTAAAAAATTGGCCCATTAAATTATTTTTGAAATTAATTTAGGATCTATAGTAAATATTATAGTGTAAAGTAAACTCGTCATGCCACATGACGAAGTTTGTCTAAATAATATTTTTTATTTAAACTCGTCACGAGATGACAAATTTTAAATATATATATATATAAATTTTTATTAAAATATGTCAAGTTAGAGTGATAAGTATCAAACAAAAAATATATTTTATTGAAACTTGTCATGCCCACTTAACGAGTTCTAAGTCACTGCAACAGAATTTGTAGTTCCCAAAATAAAATATCTAATATTGTATTGGGCTAAATAATTAACTTGCCTATCATATAGGACTAAATTTATCATTAGCAAAGAGGTAACTGACAGATAAGCTCAAATTGAACTGATTTTTTTATTCAAATTCGTTTATTTTAACTATTTTAAATACCTTTTCACAATATTTTAAAAATTAAGTTTAATTAAAAACTAAACGTCTAAACTAAACTTTTATTTATTTTAGATGTCTATTTCTTTTATCAAAATACTTATTGTTTATCTCATTATAATTTAAAGTGTTTAAAATTTTATTATATTATTTGACATGTGATATTAATTTTTAATTAATATTAATTTTCAGAAATATTTCATTAAAAAATTTAGTTTCTTAACTCAAAAGATTTATAATTCTCAAATTTCCTTAAAACTCTACTTGAGTTGCATTTTTGATCACAACTACAATGTTGATGTGCTTAGTTTAAATCTATTGTTTTTCTCAAAAAGAGGTTTGTGCAGAGGGTTTGTATATTATAAAGTGTTGGATTCATTCACTACAGTAAAACTGCCTTTTTGCGGCATTTTTTTTATCTATAGCGGCGTTTTTAATCGCCGCAAAAATCGTGATGTTATGACAAACGCCGCAAAAAGCGCCGTTGAAAATAGCGCAGCTAAAGTTCGCGACGTTGGTTAACGAAAAACGCCGCAATAGGTTCTGATATTTAGCGGTGTTTTCTTACAAACGCTGCAAAAGTCTAGTATATAGCGGCGTTTGTAACAATAAACGTCGCAATAGGTATTAATATTTTGCGGCATTTTCTGATACAAACGCCACTAAATGTATGATATATTGCGGCGTTTTTTGTTACAAACGCCGCTAAATAACACATAATTTAACTAATTCAAAAACTATTATCGATTACCCCAAATCTATTTTTTCAACCTGTTACATTATCCAACAAACATGACAGCAATAACATCAAACTCTATATCCATAACAAGCAACATCAAATCCAATATAATAAATAAAAATTTTCATTAATGTAATATAAATTCAGTTAAACACGGTTCAGTAGCATTAACAAAATGCTCATAACAAAAATGAGACTATGATGGTGGATTTTGAGGTTGAGTTTTCTGTATCATATGCATCATATCATTGAGTCATTTTTCAAATTCTTCACATCTATGCTGATATGCTGCTTCTCTCTGTGCTGCCGCTGCTTCCCTTGCTTCATTTTCCACTTTCATGTTAGCCATTTGTTGATCCATCTCAGCCAACTGTTGTTTTAAACGACTAACTTCTAATTGAGAAGATTGAGGCTGTGATGACATGTACTTTGATGAATTGGATCCAAAATATTTGGTGGGAGTAACAAATGATCATTGACAACGTACTCGGCCATATCTTTCAAGACCCAAAACGTCATTAATAGCTCGATTTTCAATGTCATCATCATTAGCAAGACCTTGACTCAAACTAGTAGCATGATATTCCACCCTTTTCTCCCTTAATTTTTCCTAATAATAAGGTGAATAATTAATTAAAAAAGTGTTATGGTATAAATATAAATAAAGTCAGGTAAATTAAAACCATCTACCCAATAAACGTACCATAATTTCTACAGCTTCAGCAGTTATAGGAGTGCCATCTTTCTTCGTATGTGTCATGTCGAATAGTTGGATTCGACCAACTTTAGAACCAGATGTATTTTCCTACAATGTACCATAATATAATTACTATGAGTTAGTATGTACATGTAATACAAAAAATAATATCAATAATTTATAATACCTCCTTATTAGCTATACAAGCAAAACTCTTCGATCCAGCCGTGTGCGTAAACTTTTGATGTTGCCTGCTAGCAACACCAACATGCTCTCGGTCCTACAATGTCAAACAACCACTTTTAATGATGATTTATAATTCATTACAATTATTTTTGAAAAATACATCATACATGTCCTTTTTGTGAACTCCAAAATCTGACTGCATCTTCCCATTGGTACCTGAGCATTCCAGGTGGGACTGTTTGCAACTTCTCTTCAAGGCTGAGATAATTCTTGAAGTATTTCTTCTTTAAGGAGCTATTGTGGTCCC